TTTCAAATTATAATTTATTATTTATATTATTTTATAAAAATTCAAGAATAAAAATTTATTTAAATTGTAATAAAATTACAGTTATTTTTATATTGTAATAAGTTTTGTTTATTTTATTTTAATTCAATTATTAAATATAAGTAATTAAGGCATTTTTAGATATATTAAAGTTTTAATGTAATATAAGTTTAAAATTATTTCACATTATCTAATTGAAATATGTAAAAAAGTTATAAATATAAAGATTATTGATTATTTAATTCTTAATCAGAAAGCAATATTATGTAAATTTAGTAAATATCTAATCAAATACTCTAAGTATAATGTTTTTAATAGGGATGTTAAAATCCAATCCGGTCCTAGTCCGGTCCCGAACCTCCCAGTCCTAAAGTAGACCCGGTCTATAGGACTTGAGTCCTAGGATGGATTCTAGGACCAGGTCCCGAGACTGCAGTCCTAGGACCGCGGTCCTATAGAAATTAGGATTTGCGGTCCTAGGACTCGGTCCTATAGAAATTAGAACTTGCGGTCCTTTGGACTGCGGTCTTATAGAAAAATAATCGTTTAAGAAGAACGATGACGAGTCGTTCGACTTGAACGATAAAAGAAATAAACGTTCAAGAAGAACGATGACGAATCGTTCGACTTGAACGATAAAAAATATCGTTCAAGAAGCACGACGACGAATCGTTCGACTTGAAAGATTATTTTTCTATAGGACCGCAATCCTAGGACCGCAGTCCTATAGTTCAAAGGACTTTGAACTGGACCGGACTTCGTGGGACTGTTTAAGACCTAGTCCCATGGGACTTAGTTTGTAATATAGATCAAATCTTTAATTACTTATTGAAATTCAACAAGAAATTGTATAGATAGATTTCAAAAAAAAGTTTCAACTAAACCTTTAAACCTTTAATCTTAATTTAATTAAATATTTTAATAACATCTATGAGTTCAATTAGAACCATTAAATAAAAATATCAGTATTTTAAAAAGTGTTAACGTACTAGATGTTATTGTTTCCAGTCTTTTACCAGTAAATTTGAATATTATTAAAAATGTTGTAAGTTTCTAAATTATATACAAGAGATTAATAGAATTAATAAGTAATTAAAATATGTTTTGATACATTATTCACTTCATAAGAAATAAAAATGAATTACTATGCATTATTAATTCTAAGATTATTTTAATGAACCTAGTTTCATAATTTTCATTACATGAAAGAAACTTTACTCATGGACTTGAATTTATAGAGAGAGGCAATGATTCATTGTCGAATACATAATAACTTTCAATATGCAGATTTTCGATATTCTAGAGCTCAATTTTAATTCCAAAACAAAAATCCTAGCACAGTAAATGATCAATTTTTAACTTTGACGATCACTCGAAATGAGTGATTACAAAAAGTGCTTATTTTTATTTTTATTTTTTTTATTTTTTAAAATAAATAAATACTAATTATTTCTGTATTCAAATAGTTACGGCCATACACAAAAAAATTCAATCGATGATGTATCCCATTTCAAATTACTTAAAAAAAAAGCTTTTTTTTTTTTCTTGATTAATTCAGGTTTATTGCAAATATCGAAAGATCATATTAACCTAGCGTCTTTCATTGGTAATATATATTTATTTATTTATTTATAATTCTTTATTTCAAATAAAAAGATCAGATAGATCGTTGAGATACGATTTCTTTATGATCTGACTCGAAAAAAATTAAAAATAGTCCTCGCCGCGAATGTTTATATCAAGACTTTAATACTCGAAATAAGAAAAACTTAGGGTCCTAAACTTAAATTACTGGCGGTAGTAATATGGGAATTGGATTTCTTTTCTTTAGGGTACCAATTATATTTTGAGCTAATAACATTTCGTTGATCATTGTATGTAAATATGAAGAGAAGGACCAGAATTAAATTCTATAAATACATTATTTAAAAAAAAAAGTTATCTTACATTAAAATTAGATCCAAATGAGCTCTTCCAAGTACGTCTATAGTCTAGTCTTCAATAATTAGGTTATAAAAAAAATTTTGCCCAATTACTAAAAATTACTCGAAATTAATTTACCTTATGCATAAACCTTTGACTTCTACGGGTACATTATCAAATTTTCGATGGCTTTCAAAAATACACAGCAGTTTCATCAAATACGAGCACGGGTAGACTTTTAAACGCATGATTGTACCGATAAGGCAAATGAATGTCAGCAAGGGGTATCATATTCAGAGAAATTTCAATATACTTACATCTCAATACTACATTGGCACCATAGTAACTAGGAAATGATGTTTCGAGTGATGATTTAGGATGCAAATTTAATTCAAATTATAATGATAAAAAAAAACACAGGAATCAATAAAATATATATATAATTTTCTAACCCAAATTGTTACTATGAATTTTATTTTTTTTTTTAGAAAATATTCTTTTAAAATTAATAAATCGTATAAAATTGAAAATAATATTTATTACATTTCCAATTCCTTTTTTTCTCAAGAACTTTTCGTTAATATTCCAACTTTTGTCAGGACCTTCAGAGAATATAACTGGAAATACCAAATAATTTAATGTTTGCACATCTTTATTTAAGTCCTTCAGATAATCTGAATTTTGATAAATTCAATACTATATAAAAGATATAAACTCAAATGATTGTAAAAAACATTTTATTGAATTATTATAAATAAATAATTTTTTCCAGTGTTATACTAGGAATATGGTAGTTTACATATCAGAAAAAAGCACGGCCCACTATTTATTTGATCCATTAATCGGTTAAAATTATGATGCACAATGTTTAATTGGCGCAACACTAGTCCCGTTAGAACGTCAAAATTAGGATTTAGTTTATCTTTTGCAAATAGAATATCAAAAAAGTGGATTCCTAGAATTTTTTTCGTGTCAGTTATTGCTCGACACTTACTAAAAATATTTTGCAAAAAAACTTTAAACTTAAATAAACCGGAAATGAATTTTATATCAATTTAGTAACGATTCGATTATATAATGTAATGTACTAAAAATTTGTCATGCATGACACGATAACAGAGATCATTTATCAGTTGATCGGTGAAAATTTTATTAATAATATGAAATGGACTTCAAATTTCTTGCCATCCTGAAGCACCGTGGGTTTTGTTGATAAATTAAAATAATGCTTAAACGGACAAACAACTAAGATTTCCGCATATTATATAAAATTTTAAATATATTGACAAACATTTTTATTCATTTTTTTAAAATAATAAATTTTCAAAAAAAAAACTTCGCGTGATTAATGTGGCGCAGCATTTATTTATTTACTTTAAAACCATTTTCTATATAACGGCCTCTTTCCTTGATTTCTATGAAGAACTTTCCAAAGTATTAATTAAGTAACTCTTATTCCAATCGTAACAATTAATGATATTTTATTCTTTGTCAATCAAAAATTCATTTATTTGATTGCTGCGGGTGAACAATTCGTTATAATGTTAACTTCTTAATAATACTAAAAGAATGAATAAAGCATTTCTACCTATTCGGAGTTAATTGCCATTGATAAAATTATATTCTGGATGATAAGCGCGACTTAAATTTGTCGAAGGTAATCCAATATTAACAAAATCAACAAAATAAGTAATTCATGATTTTTTAGTAATAGTTCAGGGATTGACAAACATGCCAACACTAACCTAAAAAAACTGTCCTCCGAAACCATAATGAAAATCGAAAACACGTTATCATATGGAAGTGTTTCTAGGAAAATCAAGTTCCGAGAAATTTTTAACAAAATTAAGAGCTTAATACATTTTAACCTAATAACATCAAAAACTAAAATGCAATAAAAATCTCAATTTTTGCTAAAAAATTCCCGGAACCTGATTTTCCTAGCAATCAACCCATATGATACATGCGACAGTTAAACATCACGTCTTCCTAATATAGGGGGTGGCTAAAGCCGGGTTCGATCACGATATTTTGGCCAGAATCACGACATTAAGTGATAGTCTCGGTGACAAATAATCTCTGACAAAAAAAAATCACATACCGAAAAAATTTGTCCCACAGAATACTTAATAAAAATAAAAAACATGGCGTGGCAAATATTTTTGTGAGTCACAGGATCGAACCGACATGAGCCACCACTAATATAGCAATTATGTCACAGATTACAGAGTAATGTATGGTACACTGTTTAAGCGTAATTATGTCATTTGATTTGTAAATGTAAATGGGTATTAATAAAATTACAAATGAATGGCAATCATTAATTTTATATTTAACATTATTTCATAATTTAAATCGTATAATAAGACACAAGTATTAAAATTATTTAGTTAATAGTTAAATTTGATAAAATTAATGGATTGTCAAAAACAAACTGCATGTATTTTAAATTTATTATTTTTTTTAACTTTTGTTTATTTTTTAACTAATAGTAATTGTCTTATTTATTTACGATAATACCTTTTTTTTTAAAAAAAAATTCATGTTATATAAAATTTAAATAATTTGTTTTCTTTGTTTGATGAATAGTATCAAGGAACGATAATAAATATTTTTTTTACATTTCAATACAGTAAGTAGTTGTTCTATTCTGAAGCGTAATTACAGGGTATGCGCAGTTTTAAGTTACAAATTTTTATTTATTCGACATTGTCTAGTATTAAATGAAAATAGGAAAAAGAACAGCTTTATAAACTTCGATATATTGTTTTATCATGCATACAAGTTTCTTTGATTAATTTTATGAATAAATTAAAATTACAAAGACATGTGGAGTGAAAATTAAAAATTATTTCATATTCTCTCTTTAAAAAAAATTAAGAAAAACATATTTTACGTGAATTTTCATTTTTTTCTCTTATGCAACATTAAAGTCACACCGATATTAAAAATTCGAATCGATAAATAAGATTTATTTCCACATTTTAAACATTATTTAAGATATTAAGTCGTGATTTTAATAAATAATTTATTATTATATTAACATATTGAACAAAGAAATGTACGGAAGTAGAAATATTGAAAAAGGCCATTTTTATATTGATGTAACTTGAAGCAAAATTTTTCCTCACTTACTATCAAGTTTGTTAAGGATGAAACGAAATCAATTGATAATGGAATTATGAAACAAAATGATGAAACTTACGACGAAATTTTTGAAGAAACCACGAAGTATGATTGGTATTTTTTCTTATGAATACAACACGTGGATTTAATAACTTAACAAATTTCGATAATACAAATTTTTGTGTTGGGTATATAGAAAACGTGTATTGTACGGTTGGCTAAAAATTATTGCACGGTTGATTTTTTCGCATGTATGGCATACATACATTTTTAATAACAATACATACATGGTTTGTACAACCCAGAAAATTTGTCACGTAACTGGTGATTTATGTAATTCGCTTTTTTTTTTTTGCAATGAGTTGTGTTCAGTTGGATTTAAAGAAAAGGTCTTTAATATTTTGTTTCTTATTTTTTTTTCTAGGAACATTAGGTTTCTTGTATAAACTGGACGTTAAAGGTAAATTTTGAAGGGAGAAGTAGTGTTAAAAAATAAAATTTTAATATTTGATCGATCTGTTTATCTTACTTTTTCCACGGTGATTTATTCTATATATGTATGGTTACTAAAATGTATGCATGCCATACATACAAAACAAGCTAACCATACATACATATTTAGCCAACCGTACAATACAAGTTTTTGTAACGCTCTAAAATGTTCGCTGATAGAAAGTGTTATTGATTTTAGTATAATTAAATAAATAATACTTGTGATTCAGTATGTCATGTTTATATTTCATTTACCTACAGTAGAATGTAAATTTCGCAGTATATTTGAGCTAATAGAAATCAATTTTTATTTTAAATGATAAGAAAATATTATTTAGATAACATTTATACATTATTACGGTTTGTTGTTAACGTTTAGTTCAATATTTTATGAAGCAAATCACTACTAGTTTTCCTTCAGCAAAGAAAAAAATATACAAATACGAAAATACAGTACCTTCAACTAAATTCTTTATGTCACGTGATCTGTATTATTCTGCAGAATAAGCAAATTAATGTTGATCAACTTTGATATTTTGGATTTCCGTAATGCATTTCGGATATTAGCGCGTATTCCCGCAATAAATTTCTATTTATAGTAAAGGAAATTAACACAAATTATGCATTCTAACGAATAATGTCGTACTTGCTTCAAAGTAAATTTTTTTACCCATTTATTAATTATTATGCATCCAAATTAATACGAAAACTTATTTTAAGAAAGAATTTTAAGCCGAATTTTCAGAATAAAATTTTAAAACCTCTCATTTATTTACTCAATAATCATGTCAAAAGCAGAAGAAAGGCATGTTGAATGCTTAAATATATCAGAAATCATTAATCCAACAGATAATATTAATATTTTAATTGATAAATTATACATACTTTTGATTAAAATGCAGTTGAAAGACTTTAAAGAAACGAAGCAATTTATTAATGATTGCATTGCTATTACTCCTCTATCGACTGTTGATATATTTAACTGGCTTAAAGATAATCAATATGAATCAAAATATGCTTTTTTCCTTGGAATATTTTCTTATTATAATATTCTCGATTTAAAAGAAAATAATTGTGAAGGATTTTTGTACTTTTTAAAAATATCAGATAATTGTCCTATTGCACAACAATATTTAGGTGGATGCTATTATAAAGGATTTGGAACTAAAATCAATAAGAATTTAGCATTTTTTTGGATGCAAAAAGCTGCGCAAAGTGGTCATGTATCTGCAATGTATAATTTAGCAATATATTATAAAAATGGAGAAGGAACAGAAAAGGATTTAGAAAAGACCATTTATTGGTATCAAAAAGCTGCTAAAAGTGGTTTTCTAACTGCAATGAATAATTTAGCAAATCTTTATGAAAATGGTAAAGGTACAGAAAAGAACTTAGAAAAAGCTTTTTATTGGTATCAAAAATCTGCTGAAAATAAAGATATAGATGGAATGTATAATTTAGCATTTTATTATGAAAATGGTAAAGGTACAGAAAAAAACTTAGAAAAAGCCTTTTATTGGTATCAAAAAGCTGCTAAAAATAAAGATATAGATGCAATGTGTATGTTAGCATTTTATTATGAAAATGGAAAAGGAATAGAAAAGGATATTAAAAAGGCTATTTATTGGTATCAAAAAGCTGCTGAAAGTGATCATGTAACTTCAATGTTTATTTTAGCATTATGTTATCAAAATGGTGAAGGTACAGAAAAGGATCTTAAAAAAACCATTTATTGGTATCAAAAAGCTGCTGAAAGTGGTTATACATTTGCAATGCATAATTTAGCATTATGTTATCAAAATGGTAAAGGAACAGAAAAGGATTCTAAAAAGGCTATTTATTGGTATCAAAAAGCTGCTAAAAGTGGTTATGTAAAAGCAATGTATAATTTAGCATTATGTTATCAAAATGGTAAAGGAACAGAAAAGGATTTTGAAAAAACCATTTATTGGTATCAAAAAGCTGCTGAAAATGGATATGTAAATGCAATGTTTAATTTAGCATTATGTTATCAAAATGGTAAAGAAACAGAAAAGGATTTTGAAAAAACCATTTATTGGTATCAAAAAGCTGCTGAAAATGGATATGCAAGTGCAATGTATAATTTAGCATTATATTATGAAAATAATAAAGAAGTTGAAAAGAATTTTGAAAAGGCTATTTGTTGGTATCAAAAAGCTGCTGAAAGTGGTCATACATTTGCAATGTATAATTTAGCATTATATTATAAAAATGGTGAAGGAATAGAAATAGATTTTAAAAAGACCATTTATTGGTATCAAATAGCTGCTAAAAGTGGTTATGTAAATGCAATGTATAATTTAGCATTATGTTATCAAAATGGTAAAGGAATAGAAAAGGATTTTGAAAAGGCCATTTATTGGTATCAAAAAGCTGCTAAAAGTGATAATGCATATGCAATGTATAATTTAGCAAAATGTTATGAAAATGGTGAAGAAATAGAAAAGGATTTTGAAAAAGCCATTTATTGGTATCAAAAAGCTGCTGAAAATGAAAATTTTTTGTATAGTTCTTATCTTAAAGAAAATATTAAAAAGATTACATCAATTGAATTAATATATAATCTGGAAAATATCAATTATGATATATGTAATAATTGTTTTAAAAAAAGAAAACCTTTGCAAAATTATTATAAGATTTGTATAATTTGTTATCAATCTAAGTTATTATATAAACCAAGTGGAAATGAAGTTGTTGATAAATTTATTAAATATACACAAATTAATTTTATTCAAGAATCTTGCAGAATGTTATTTATTCCTTTTAATCAATTTAAAAAAATTGAATTAATTGGTGTAGGAGGATTTAGTAAAGTTTATAAAGCTATTTGGATTAGTGGTCCACCTTATTGGAATAATGAAAAAGAAGATTTTGTGTATAAAGAGTTTAATTTAATAGTTGCTTTAAAACAACTTAATAATTCTAAAAATATTACTTTAAAAGAATTAAATGAGGTAAATTATTTGTAATGCAATGATTATTAAGCATATATAATTTGTATTAATTTATATATATACTTCTTTAAAATTTAGCTCATGATGGTATATAATGCTAATTTAAATGATGGATATTTTTTTTCTTTACTTAATTTAAATAGATATTATGGAATCACTCAGAATCCTGAAACAAAAGATTTTGTAATAATTATGAAATATTACAAATATGATTTAAATAAATATATAATCAAAAATTTTAATATTATTGAATGGGATAAGAAATTAATAATATTACGAGATATTAGCTATGCACTTTATAATATTCATAAACAAGAAATTATTCACAGAGATTTTCATAGTGGAAATATTCTTTGTAATAGTGAATATGATATAATAATAAGTGATTTGGGAATTAGTAGATTATCAACTGAATTATCAAATAATGAAAATGAATATTATGGTATTATTCCTTATATTGCCCCAGAGGTATTTCAAGGGTCAAAAAGCAATAAGTATACTAAATCTTCAGATATTTATAGTTTTAGTATGATTATGTGGGAATTAATGACAGGTAGAAGACCTTTTTGGGATCAAAATTATGATTCAGATCTTATTATTCAAATTTGTGATGGAATTCGTCCTCCTATAATCACAAATGCACCTGAAGGATATATTGAATTAATGCAAAAATGTTGGCATTCTGATCCGAATAAAAGACCAACTACTAAAGATATTTACAACTTTATTAATAAAATCATTTTGAACGAAGAAATGAATTCCACAAAAATTATTTATTCTTCAGATATTGGACCTTTCACAATAAATAATCCAGTCACAAGTAGAGGAATAACAATATCAGCGGAATCTACAAGGGGCAGCATTTTTGGTAATAGTCTTAATTGTATGCAATTACTTGATAATATAATAATATCTACTAATATTTTATATTTATTAAAGGCATTAGAAAACTTAACGGTTATATTGAAGATAATGAAAATGGTAAAAATGCCTACATTAAGTGATCAAATAATGATAATAAATACTAATATTTTTGATATTATTTCAGATAACAAAATTAGACAAATCAAATTCAATGAGAATAATCACAATGAATTTAATAATAGTAAGTAAAAATAATGATCAAATACAACTCATCTATAAATTACATAAATTAATTAATTTGAATTATTCATAGATTATATTTCTAAAACAATAGATTTTGACATATAATCATATGTTTAGATATGGCTATATACAAAATAAAATCAATAAAGCTTTAATATAATATTTTCACGATGATTATATTATTGATTAATTATGATATTTTAGCTAACCCAATATTCCTGGTTTATATAAAATTGAATCTAATCGAAGTAAACCAGATGAATTGATTAGAATTAAATTCTTTTGACTTATTGGCATTGCATTTATCTGGGAGATCTCAGGCTTGGGTTAAAAATCTTTCAAATAATTCTTTACCTCCTGTTATAGTAATAAAAAAGAAGCCGGTGTTAGCCGCAGTTTATGCTGTGCCTTAAATGATCGTTAACTGCGCCAAATATCATACATGTTAAACATGTATCGTTTAGTCAACTTTATAATACATGTATCGAATAGTTTACCTTTTAATATAAATATTATATAGTCTAGTTTTTATTACTTATATTATTTTCATTATATG